GACAGACAGACAGACAGAGACAGATTTTTCTACCTTCAGGTTTACTCCCCAAATGCCCATAATAGCCAGGGCTGGGCCAGGCCAAAGCCAGAAGCCAAGAACCCCATTCTGGTCTTCCACATATGGGTCAGGAGCCCAAGCACCTGGGCCATCATCCACTTAGGAAGTTAAGAAAGTAGAATTTAGTATACACTTGTGTTTAATAAATCTGGTCTCCTGGTAAAAGGAACAGCAACTCTAGTGGAATCAGATAGCAAAAGAGAAGAACATCTTCCGAGTTCTGGCCTAGCAGTGAGGGTAGGTAGCATGTCACTACAGCTGGTGAAGCGCAGGGCTTGCAGGCAAGATAGGAAAGGTTTTGCTCTTTCTGTGTATAATGATGACATTGGACTCGATGTTTTCAGAGCTTTGAGGTTTTATACAATGCAAATCTGAAAAATTTGGCTTGCCTTCTCCATGGAAGAAGCATTTAAATACATAGGCTTTGTGGTAGGCCACAAAACAGCCTCTGTAAAATGCCTGAATCCTGGCCGGCGCCGCGGCTCACTAGGCTAATCCTCCGCCTAGCGGCGCCGGCACACCGGGTTCTAGTCCCGGTTGGGGCGCCGGATTCTGTCCCGGTTGCCCCTCTTCCAGGCCAGCTCTCTGCTGTGGCCAGGGAGTGCAGTGGAGGATGGCCCAGATGCTTGGGCCCTGCACCCCATGGGAGACCAGGAAAAGCACCTGGCTCCTGCCATCGGATCAGCGCAGTGCGCCGGCCATTGGAGGGTGAACCAACGGCAAAAGGAAGACCTTTCTCTCTGTCTCTCTCTCTCACTGTCCACTCTGTCAAAAAAAAAAGAAAAAAAAGAAATGCCTGAATCCTCACTCCTGGAACCTTGACTCCGGGACCTTACCCAGCAGAAGGGGCTTTGCAGAGGGGATTAAATGTCAGAATCGTGATGGGAAGACGGTGTTCGTTTACCCATGGGGCCCAGTGTAATCTCAAGAGTCCTTATAATCGTAGAGGAAGAGAGGCAGAGACAGTTGGCAAAATGATGGAGGAAGCAGAGGTCAAAGAGATACTGGCCATCTAGAAGTTTCTAGAAATTGGAAAAGAACCAGGAAGAGATGCTTCTATAGAGTGTCTGCAAGGTATGAAGCCTTTGACTTTTACCCCACAGATTATGATTTTTCTTTTTTAAAGGATTTACTTATTTCTTTCAAAGACAGAATGACAGAGAAAGAGGGAGAGACAGAGATTTTCCATCCACTGATTTACTTCCCAGATGCCTGCAACAGTCACAGCTGGGCCAGGCCAAAGCTAGGAGTCAGGAATTCCTTCCATTTCCCAGGTGGATGGCAACAACTCAAGTACTTAGGTCCTATTAGCTGCCTTCCCAGGCAAATCAGCAGGAAGCTGGATCTGAAACAGAGCAACTGGGACTTGAACCACACTCTGATATGGGATGCCACATCCCAAGCAGAGGCTTAGCCCACCCTCAGAACACGATTTTAGATTTTTGGCATCCAAACCTGAAGACAGTAGATCTGTGTTGCTTCACATTGCCAAGTTAATGATAATTTCTTCTAGCAGCAACGGGATAGTAGTGCAAGTTTCTCAGTTGATTTTGCTGAAGGGACACAAGTTGAGTTACCCTAGGTACCATGCAGAGACATTTGGTTGATCTGTGCATTTCTTTTTTTGCTATTATTTCTTTTTTAATAGAAAGCTTTTATTTAATAAATATAAATTTCATAAGTACAACTTTTGGATCATAGCGGTTCTTCCCACCATACCTGCCCTCCCACCCGCAAACCATCCCATCTCCTACTCCCTCTCCCATCCCTTTCTTCATTAAGAATCATTTTTAATTATCTTTATATTCAGAAGACCAACTCTATACTAAGTAAAGATTTCAACAGTTTGCACCTACACAGACACACAAAGTATAAAGTACTGTTTGAAGACTTGTTTTACCATTAATTGTCATAGTACAACACATGAAAGACAGAGGTCCTACATGGGGAGTAAGTGCACAGTGACTCCTGTTGTTGATTTAACAGTTGACACTGTTATTTATGACATCATTAATCACCCGAGGCTCTTGTCATGAGCTGCCAAGGCTATGGAAGCCTCTTGAGTCCACAAACTCTGACCTTATTAGACAAGGCCATAGTCAAAGTGGAAGTTCTCTCCTCCCTTCAGAGAAAGGTACCTCCTCCTTCTTTGATAGCCCCTTCTTTCCATGAGGATCTCACTCACAGAGATCTTTCATGTAGGTCATTTTTTGCCACAGTGTCTTGGCTTTCCATGCCTGAAATGCTCTCATGGGCTTTTTAGCCAGATCTGAATGATTTGTGCACTTCTTAAAATGATATTTTTAAGTGAGCTTTTCTGGTAATTATTATTAAATGTGGAGAAATAAATAAAGGCTTGAAAGCTACTGCATACTCTAAACCCTCTATCCTCAGCTCTCCATTTTCTTTTTTCCAGTTTCATCCCTTGATTGCTTCTTATGTGTGAGTGAAACTGTCAATCAATCTATGATTCTACTTTGTAAGCCCTCTTGGAATAAGAGCTCAAAACTAAAACAATGGGTATATAAGTTGATGCTGTCTTTGGGAATGTTCTCATAGAATAGGTCATATGCAAAGCCTGGTGACATACTATAAAACAGACACATTGAGTAATCCAAAAATCAGTTTATTAGCTATGACCTAAGCTGACTTAACATGGAGACACACCACAACTTGTCTTAAGGAGTGGCACAATATAAAGTTGGCTGGGTTTGGTGTAAAACAGATGTGACATTGTTGTTGCTTTTTCTCTTTGCACTGACATCTGTCTTGCCTTATCCTTGTTAAATTACTTCTGTTTCCCTGATAACCTGCATTGGTGTTTCAATTATTTTGAGACTCATTGAACAGCCCTTCCTCTCAGGAAGGAAGAGTGGCAAGAATATAAGATGTGGCCACGGGCAAGGGCTGCACGCTAACACTTACACACCACTCTGCACAGATGCCTTCCTGGTATATTTAGGGCTTTCTAATCTAGGTTTTTTCCTCCTTGTATTCTTTTTAACTGGTACACCATTCTTCTTGTGTCTTGTTTTGTGACTCTATCCTATATGCAAGCCCATAGGTGGAGGAGGTACAAGAGACAAGGATGCAGTAGGCTGGGAGTCACGATCAATAGAAATCGGGTCTTTTTCTGAGAATGGAAGTCCTTGAGACTATGCCTTCCTGTTGACAAGTCTTCTGGGAAATTAGGCCTACTGGGATTTTCAAATTAGGCAGTGTGTGCACAAGTACCAAATTCTTTCAAAATTAAACCAGCTAGCTCATGCACTATGATAAAAGATTAAGAGTGAATTTAAAAAATTAACTTAGCTAAGATTAATACTGCCATATGAGTGCAAAGAAAGTTTTTATGGACTTACACTACCCAGAGAGTTGATGACGGATGGCACCTGTGACAAGAAGGCCATGAAGGATTCTTGAAACCACACAGCTACAGCCCATAGGTGCTCCTTTCAGGAAACGTCTTAGTGTGACCCAGCATGCCTATGATTTACGCCTTTCTGAATGGAAATCATCTAATATTTATTGAATATCTATTAAACCCAAGCCACTGTAAGAACACAGCACATCTTAACTTTGGTATCTCAGAAAATCTGGTAAATATTAAGTTGTAGAATGTGCACCTAAATATATTCTTATTTAGTTATTAATTTATAAAGAGCTTTAATGAGTGAGTGACTTAAGATTTGAAAGCTAGATTTAAATTTATGAAAACGCCATTTCACTTTGGTTCCTTCTTCCTCCCACCTTTCCCTTTATTTCAAATAAAATACCAATTCTTAATTTAGCTTCTTTTTTTTGGCTATAGAGTACTCTGTCTTAAGAAAAAGTACAAGAATTAAGAAGTTGATACAAGATGTGTATGCATAATTTTTTAAAAGATTTATTTATTTATTTGAAAGAGTTACAGAGAGACAAGGAGAGACAGAGAGATCTTCCATCTGCTGGTTCTTTCCCCAGATGGCTGCAATGGTCGGGGGTGGGCCAGGCTGAAGCCAGGAGCCTAGAGCTTTTTCCAGGTCTCCTATATGTGTATGAGGGCCCAAAGATTTGGGCCATCTTCCACTGCTTTGCCAAGCACATTAGCAGGGAGCTGGATTGGAAGTGGAGCAGCCAGGACTCAAACCGGGGTCCATATGGGATGCCAGCAATGCGGATGGAGGCTTAACCTCTATGATACAGCGCTGGCCCCACATTAATAATTCTTGATTGTGAAAAAATTATTACAAGTATTTCTAAAATGTGGAGTTTGCCTAAGTAAGTAGCTTACTGGAATAATAGCTTACATAGCTGACTGGAATAACTGGGGGACAAGGTGCTTTGCTTCCAATTAAACCTATGATTCTTTTTCTCTTGTTGAGATAAAATTTATTATGAAATGTGTTTTGATAAATGCATCATACCTGTTAGCAGCTTAGTCACTAAATGAGGCCAGGGGAGACACTGTCAGGCATGGTTTTTTGCCTGGTTTTTTTAAACACCGCTAAGTTAACAGCTCTGTCTTGGTGTTTGCACTATGTCATGCTTGTATTACCTTTTGATTTCATTGCATTTTTTTTGCTTTTTAAATATTTTTCATTTTGTGAAAAAAAAAATGTTCAGGGCTATTAACTAGAAAAGGAAGTGTCTTCCTGACACCAAGAGGTATGACATGGATGCTGATTGGTTTAGGGCCAAGTAGGCATTGCGGGTTTGCATGTCTCGGGGGGATTCCAGAGCTGGAACCTGGGATGCTCCTGCTTCCTCTTTGCTTCCCCCTACTACAGAGAGAACCAAGAACCCCATATCCATGCATAGCAGAAGGGCTGCAAGGCAGTCAGTGCCCATGCTTCTAAGCAATGCATCTGGTTCTCAATCCCCAATCCTATTTTTATTTTTCATTTTTAAAAGAGTGACACGAACATGTAACTAGTTTAAATTTTTTTGTAAGATTGCACTTTATTGGTAGACTACACCCTTCAGAGGTTGACTATAGTTGTCAGTAAAGAAAATACAATTAAGAATAAAGATAAAACCACTAAATGTTCATTGCATGTTTAAGTAAATGGAAAATATGACTCAACTTACCAATATTATTATCTAAATAGAATTTTAAAGTCATACATATAATAAAGTATATCTAAAATTTAAATACAGTTTTTGATCAAGTAATAATACAGAAAGCAATAGGAGTAATTCTCATTTTAAGTAAGTGTTCATACACAGGTAGTTCTGTGATTCACTCTGCACACCCTAAGGCTGGAACAATGGGACTTGGGGATGGATATGCGAAACGCTTCACTCAGTGCTTTCTGTCAGTTATTTCACACTGTGATCTTCCCTCCCCACCAACAGAGGGATGGGATGGAGTTTGGGGGAAATGATGGATATTTCTTGAGAGAGAGTCGGTGTAGCATGGAGGAAAGCAACATGGCACTCCCAAATGTGACACATTTCCAATTTGATAGGAGAAGTTGATGGGGAACTGGTCAACAGATTCAATTTGCAGAAAACTGCTTATAAGCAAGTAGGAGCCAGAACGTTTTCAGCATGTGAGGAATAAAGGCATTATCTCACCCAACAAGCTTAGCAGAGACGTTTGCTGCCTTTTTAAAAATCCCAGGGGAAGGTGATGGGTGATCGGAACGTGTCTGCACCTGAGTAGCATGATTGTGGGTATTGATATATGCAATAAAAGAGATCAAAGCATGCCAAGTAATTACTAAGAACTCTTTCTTTGCATTACACAAAGAGCAAACTATGTGTAGCTCCACGCCATCACTGCACTGACTGCCCATTGACTAATGTGTAGTAGATGTCTCGATTTCTCAGGAGCTCGCCATGAGTTCCCTGTTCCTTTATTTTTCCGTTGTGCAGAACCACGATGGAATCTGCGTTCTGTATTGTGGAGAGTCTGTGTGCGACCACGAGGCACGTCCTGCCTCTCCTGGCTTTATCGAGAGCATGCTGGACCACCTGGAAGAGAGTTGGTCTCATGACTGCCAGTTTGGATTAGAGTCTGTTCAACTTCTCTAAGTCAAATAGATTAAGGGGCTCTGATCACATTCTTCCTTTTATTTGCTTATCCGCCACAGGAATTGCCCACCTTTGTGAAAATTTCCCTCTACTCGGTAGACATCTGGTATAAGCAATTATAGATACATGAAATAAGACTTCAGTTGGGAGAGAATTTGTGACAATGAATGAAAAGGAAATGGTTGTTTCTGTGTGTTTCTGAACTCAAATCCAGGAACTGGATACCTAAGCAAAGCTGTTGAATTTATTTATCTAATTCCCTCTCATTGCTTTTTTTGTATTGCTTGCCACAATTTAGCTGTAAAACTGTCCTGGCTAAAACAGTGTCTCAGCCAACAGCGAGGGAATAATGTTGCATAGAGGAAACAGGACTGGAATAGAGGGTGAAATCCTGTGTTTCTTAAGTGTGTACAATGTTCCAGGGATGGATGTTTCGTCTAAATGCTTGCTTGCATTTGAACCCACTACAAAAGGTAGAGGTATTCCCATTTTTCTGTTAAATGTACTATAGTACATTGCCTAGGCCCACACTACTAGCAACTAATGAATCTTAAGATTACGGACCGATATGTATGATTCCAAAAGTTGTGTTTTTTTTCTTTCATATCACACTCTTTGGGAATTAAGAACAATTACCACCTAAAAATAACAATCATATATGGCTTAGCTGTCTGTGCGCTTGAGCCAGACATCCTCTATAGAAATTAGGGAAGTCACTTAATCTTTCAAAGCTTCAGCATGCTAATCTGTAAAATGGGCATACCAGTAAAAGAAGCTAATCCTTAAATTGTGAGGACTGAGAGAATAGCTTTCAAGAGTTACCATTTATTTAGCCAATGTGCATTTACGAAATAAGTGCTTCCTTAAGAAACTGCCAGGGGCTGAGGGCATACCAAAATTAGATCTGAGAACTTGTCATACTTTGCTTCGTTGTTTCCTGCTAAGCTAAGCTTCAGACTACCATTCAGTAGAAGGCAGAATAACTAGCAGGTGCTGACTGTGCAGTATAGGTTACTTTTCTTACACATCTAGCAAATTACTTACATTATTTAGTAAACTGGCATCATTATAATAATGATAACAGCAATAATTCATTTTTCTTGGGCTCTTTCCTTGAGTGGGGAAATATAGCAAACATTGGGTCCATAATGAGACCAACTCAAGCAAGAGAATCTTTCCAGAACCTGAGATGCCCTTTGCCTTGACTCCTACCTTCCCATTGTGTTCTGATCTTGATGCTAACAGACCAGCACCTTAATTATAGCTGGTGGCCACGTGACTACAGTTATTTTCCAGGCCTGTCTTTCCCCCAAACTGGCCTTGTTTCCTTCCTTGGTATTGCACGTTCACATCTGGTGGTATATCCTGAGATGAAAGAACAAGATGTTACCTTTTCACTCTCATTGTCAAGGGCTGAAGTGGCCTCATCCAACAGCAAAACTTTTGGTTTCCGGAGAAGAGCCCTTGCAATGGCTATTCTCTGTCTCTGGCCTCCAGAAAGCTGTGTTCCTCTCCGCCCAATGCGTGTGTTGTATTTCTGTTGCAGGGATGTGCCATCAAAAGAGCAAGGCTTGGTTATTTAAGTTAGCATGGCAACCGGGGGCAAGAAACATCAAAATATCTCACATTTTGCTACTCTTGGAAATCTGTGTCCCAACAAGTGCTGAAATCTATTCTTGGACCTTGTTGCAAATAAATATCCAATGGCCTCCGGTGCAGTGGCTCACTAGGCTAATCCTCTGCCTTGCAGCGCTGGAACACCGGGTTCTAGTCCTGGTCGGGGCGCCGGATTCTGTCCCGGTTGCCCCTCTTCCAGGCCAGCCCTCTGCTGTGGCCAGGGAGTACAGTGGAGGATGGCCCAGGTGCTTGGGCCCTGCACCCCATGGGAGACCAGGATAAGTACCTGGCTCCTGCCTTCGGATCAGCGCAGTGTGACGGTCGCAGCGCGCCAGCCGCGGTGGCCATTGGAGGGTGAACCAACGGTAAAGAAAGACCTTTCTCTCTGTCTCTCTCTCTCTCTCACTGTCCACTCTGCCTGTCCAAAAAAAAAAGAAAGAAAAAAAAAAAGAAAAAAAATCCAATGGGCAGTAAATACTACCGTTACTGTCTCATTTGCATATTAAATCTGATCCCAGACAGCAGACCCCTAGTTCTGCAAAGCAAGTTTGCATGTTGAAGGCTATGAAGAATTACTGGCAGGAGCGAGTTCCCCGGTCACCACGAATCCTTTCCATTAGGTTACATGACCTTCTATTTACAGGTCAAAATGACTTCAAGTATGTAAAAAAACCACAAGGACATCTTGGGGTTCTGTCACTTTGGCTCTTGTTCCGCCTCTCTTAGCTTCTCCCTTCAGATGCTCAGAGGAATCCGTTCACAGTGGGGCAACGTCTTCCTGGACATCAGGTGGCATGGCTGTTTGAAGGTGTCCGTTCACCTGTTCAGGCCAGCAGGTGCTACTGATGGCATTCAGCACTTGACAGTGTTTCCATGGGTCCCCCCCAATTCATATCCCCTTTCTCCAGTGCTTCCCGCCATGGAAAGTAAAAGACATTCACTCTTATCCTGAAGCCATCCTGGCTCCCTAAATCTCCACTGGGCAGCTCCATTGGAAGGGAGCGGAGTTCTCTCTGCTTCGTAGGTTGTCCCATTGACTCCGTGTCTCTCCAGGCAAGGCTTCACCTTGCTTTCCAGGAGCCTCCGGCAGTTGTCTAAGGAATGCGTGCTGTTGGTACCCAGGCATGAATCAGCTTCAACGAGAAAGCAGATCCAAGTGTGCAACCTGCTGGAAGTGAATCCTATAGCAGCAGCTCAGAGAAAATGGAGCGTGCAAATCATGTTTTGATTTATTGGCTATTGGCTGATTGACTTCCCAAATTCCTGCAATCACAGCCTGGGCCAGGCTAAAGCCAGAAGCCAGGAAGGACCTCAATCCAGGTCTCCCTCACAGGTGGCAGGGACCCATGGTACTTCAGCTGTCACCTGCTGCCTACCAGGGTGTATGTTAGCAGGAAGTTGGAATCGGGAAGCTGGGATTCAGAGCTGGAACTGAAACTCAGACCCTCCAACAAGGGAGGCAGGCATCCCAAGTGGCGTCTTAACCACTATATCAAATACCTATCCCAGCCAAGAGTTTTGACTTTTATGAGACTTTATGTCACCTGTCACAGCCAATCACAGAGATAAAGGCAACACAAATGGCAGGCGGGGAGCTTTGTCTCTAACAGGGAAGGGAGATTTTAAACAAATAAATAAGTCTTCAGGGTCACTTCAGACTGTGGTGAGTGCCTTCAAAGCATTGTGGGGGGAAAGGGAACAGAAAAGACTATTTAAGTTGGGTGGCCAGAGGAGGCTACTGCAAAGGGGACCTTTGAAAGGGCGTGAAAATTAAGGAGCTGGCTATGCAGAAAGTTAGAGGAAGGGAGGTCCAGGCTAAAGGAGCAGCAAGTGCAAATGTCCTGAGGTGGGGAACACGTGGGCGTGTTCACGAGACAACAGAGAGATCTGCTTGGCTGCAGAGAGCGAGGAGGTGGCCAGGCCGGGGCTGTGGAGGTGGCAGAGCCAGGCCACAGAGGTCTTGCCAGCCACACGAGGGGACTGAACTTCCAGTGTGAAGAGACCCCGTGCGGCTGTGTTAAGCTGGGAGGAACATGGTCTGATTTATGGCTGCAAAGCATCCTAGTTGCTGTGAGGAAGGATTGCCAAGGAGCAAGACTGGAAGGCATCGAAGGAGGCAGTGCACACAGGGCTGATGGTGGTGTGGACAAGATGGCAGCGATGGAGAGAAGGCATAGGAAAGTTAATCTCATACATAGTGAGACATGGGCTTAGGCAAAAAGAAATTGTGCAACGCAAGGCATACATACAACGCATGTAGGCCCAGGAAGTGCCGAGGCTCACGGGGCAGCTGTGCTGTTCAACGTTTCAGGTGCGTCTTACCTGAGGGAGGCCTTCAATGAAAGAGTGGATGTCGGCCGCCTGGGCGACTTCTCTGATCTCCTCCAAAGGCACCGCGCGGCCGGGATCGCCATAGGCGATGTTCTCGGCTATGCTGCGATTGAAGAGCACGGGCTCCTGGGAGATGATCCCTATTTGGGACCGGAGCCACTGCACGTTCAGCTCTCTGGCATCTACGCCATCCAGCAGCTGCCAACAGCGGAATGGAGAATGGTATGTGAAGATCTGATGGCGGCATCACATTACACGCACTGTATTCCAGCCGACACAAATCACAACAAGAAGCTAAGGAATTCCAGCTGTCTCCAAGGCTAATGTCACCCAGGGAAGGCTCATCAATCACGCGTGGCGCAGAAGCAAGCGGCGTGTGACTTGCTATGCTCAGCCAGTGTTCCTAGGAATGGACACGGATTCCGGACGGCAGCCTGTTGAAGTCAGGTGGAGATGACAGACGGTCCCTGCTACTGGGACATGGCCCCACGTGACTAAAGCCTGATGAGCCTCTATGTGTAGACTGACACAGCAGTCCACATGTATTTTTACAAAAGATTTATTTATTTTTGAAAATCAGAATTACAGAGAAAGAGAAGAGAGAGAGAGAGAGATTTTTCTGAGAGAGAGAGAGAGAGAGAGAGAGAGAGAAAGATCTTCATTCTACTGGTTCACTCCCTAGATGGCTGTGATGGTTAGGACTGGGACAGGCTGAAGCCAAGAGCCAGGAGCTTCATCTGGGTCTCCCACGTGAATGGCAGGGACTTGGGCCGTCTTCCACTGCTTTTCCCAAGCCACAAGTAGGGAGCTGGATCAGAAGTGGAGCAACTGGGACTCAAACTGGCGCCCATATGGGATGCCGGCAGTCTCAGGTTGGGTGGCTTTACCTGCTGCACCACAGCGCAGGCCCCCATTGGTACTGATAAAGTATTGTGCTCACCACTGTGTTACTCACGTGGACGTGTAAGGACTGGTATTTGATGAGCATGCCTGGTACGTGATGGGCACTCTCCAGGCACTGGAGACATAGAAGTAAGTAGGGGGAAACTCTTGGTCTCCCATGGATTATGTTCTAGTAGAGACGGGCAGGCAAGAGCACACCAACTAATAACTCAGTGAACTCAGGACAAAAGTGCCACAGAGACTAGGTCTCGGGAGAGTGGCCGAGGTGGCCACAATCTCTGGATTGTTTTAGAAGGCCTTAAGGGGACGCCGTTCAGACTGGGATGAGAATGATGAGAACGAGCCAGCCAGGAAGGCAGATCAAGGGCCGTGTGGGCAGGGTGATGGCGAGAACACAGGCTCATGGGTGTGTTTAAAGAACACAAGGAGAGTGCACATGGAGGTGGGAGCGAGAGGGGAGGGCTGGGGAGGGACGCAGCAGCCAGATCGTGGGGACCTTGGCTGATGGTGTGGGCTGACGGAGGCTGCTTCTGACTGCAGTGGGAAACCTTTGGAGGGCTTCCAGGAGGAAGCATGCTGCGGGAGAACGGAGGAGTGTTACCTGGTTGGACAACTCACTGAGAATCCGTAATGGGGAAAAGGGGTGAATTGCAGGAGAATGTGGATTAACATGACAGCCTTCAGTTTTTTTTCAAGGGCTCCCACCTTTTGTGTGCTGGGGAGGAGGCAGTGTGGGTTTGTGTGGGTTCATGCTCTGACGATGCTTAGCAGGGAGAGGAAAATGGAAAACCAGAATATAAAATAATAAATAAATGCTAGGTGAGGTAAGAAACAGAGTCCTTGGGAGTCAAGGGAGGGAAGACGTGACACCGTTTTTGAGATTAGGACACAGGAGCTAATGGAGCTCGTTTGAATACACCTTTTCTCGCCTCGGTCTGACAATTGGGTGGGGATGGCCAGCCGAACAGCAGGACAGCCACTATCTGTGTCTTAAATCAGAGCAGAATGAAGAGCCGTGATGTGGACTTCGGACCTGAACTCCACACCCATATTCCAAAAGAATCCTAGGGCTTCCAGGATCAAAATTGGCCAGATTGGCTGAAGAACCTTCGGGTCTTTGAACTTAACTTTAAAGCCCTAACCATCATCTTTAGCATGGCTCCTCTTGTTTTCTTAGTTATGGGTTGGGATAGAGACTTTTTCTTTTTTAACTTCTGCATTGTATTCCCCACCCAAACGATGCTTAAGCCCGGGTGACTGTTTAAGAAAAGCTCCCGCTAACACCCAGATGAGGAGCCTTCAGAACTCCAGCCTTTAAAAAAACAAAAAAAAAAACAAAACTCCAGCCTTACCACGTGTCCTCTCGTAGGGTCGTAGAATCTCTGCAGAAGTTGAACAGAAGTGCTTTTCCCGCTGCCGCTACTCCCCACCAATGCTACTGTCTTGCCTTTCTCGACACGGAGGGACAAGCCACGAAGGATGGAGACGTCTGGGCGACAGGGGTAGAGGAAAGACACATCCCGGAACTCTAAGTTCCCTTCACATGTGTCCTGCGAGAGGAAGTTGACAGCGTTCAGAGCAATGGCTGGCGGAGGCTGGGACGTGGAGTAACACACTGGCTAAGCCCCATCTGAAAACTGGGCAAGTTTCCATGGCCACTTTAACTTCAAAGCATCATATTCATCTCTGTAATGCTGACAGCATGTTGGTGTCTGTCACTTCTGTTTGTATTTTATATGTAGGGTCCTTTTTTTCCCCTCAAAGATTGGCAATATAGCGTTTTTTTTTTTTTAAAGATTTTATTTATTTCTATTTAGAGGTAGAGTTATAGACAGTGAGAGGGAGAAACAGAGAGAAAGGTCTTTCATTGGTTCACTCCCCAAATGGCTGCAATGGTCGGAGCTGTGCTGATCCGAAGCGAGGAGCCAGGAGCTTCCTCCAGGTCTTCCCACGCGGGTGCAAGGGCCCAAGGACTTGGACCATCTTCTGTTGCTTTCCCAGGCCATAGGAGAGAGCTGGATCAGAAATGGAGCAGCTAGGACTTGAACCGGCACCCATATGGGATGCCAGCACTGCAGGCAGTGGCTTTACCCACCACATCACAGCGCCTACCCAACAAAAATAAATTAAAAAAAAAAATCTCTATATTGGGGCTGGTGCCATGGCATAGTAGGTTAATCCTCCGCTTGTGGCATCAGCATCCTATATGGGCGCCAGTTCTAGTCCTGGCTGCTCCACTTCCGATCCAGCTCTCTGCTATGGCCTGGGAATGCAGTAGAAGATGGCCCAAGTGCTTGGGCCTCTGCACCCGTGTGGGAAGACCCGGAGGAAGCGCCTGGCTCCTCGCTTTGGATCAGCATAGCTCCGGTTGTTGTAGCCATCTGGGGAGTGAACCAACAGATAGAAGACCTCTCTCTCTGCCTCTCTGCCTTTCAAATAAATAAATAAATCTTTAAAAAAATTATTTTTGTTTGTTTGAAAGGCAGAGCGAGATGAGAGAAAGAAATCTTCCTTCTGCTAGTTCACCTCCCAAATGACCAAAACAGCCAGGGCGGGGCCATGCTGCAACAAGGAGACAGGAGCTCAGCTTGGGTCTCCCATGTGGGTAGCAGGGACCCCACTACTTGAGTTGTCATTTGCTGCCTCCCAGGTGTGCATGAGGAAGCTGGATTGGAAACAGAAGGTGTGGGACTTGAACCCAGGTACTCCGATATGGGATGTGGGCATCCCAAGTGGTAGTTGAAAACCACTGCACCAAACTCCTGCCCCATCTGTGTTTCTTGTTATCTTCACTGCTGGACTTTGCCACGTTCCGAAAAGTACTGGCTTTGGCGGAGCTAAGCAGACAGTCCATCCTGCAGAATGGGCTGCTTGACCAACTGCTTTGAATAAATGCATATTTTTAAATAATTTGGTTTGTCCTTTACACATTTTTATTACCTAGTGCAGGAGAGCTGGACACCTCATAAACTATATATATAAATGTATAAATGAGCATGTGTTACCATGCTTGTGCATTAAGTTTGGAACTCTGGGGCCGGCGCTGTGGTGTAGTGGGTAAAACCTCCACCTGCAGTGCCAGCATCCCATATGGGTGCCAGTTTGAGACCAGGCTGCTCCACTTCTGATCCAGCTCTCTCCTATGGCCTGGGAAAGCAGTAGAAGATGGCCCAAGTCATTGGGCCCCTGCACCCGCATGGGAGACCAAGAAGAAGCTCCCGGCTCCTGGCTTCAGATCGGTACAGCTCCGGCCGTTGCGGCCAATTGGGGAGTGAACCAGTGGATCTCTCTGCCTCTCCTTCTCTTTCTCTGTAATCCTGACTTTCAAATAAATAAATAAATAAATAAATCTTTTAAAAACAAAGTTTGGAACTCTGATTCATCTTCATTTTCGATTGACTGTTATTTGGCAGGGACACTCGCCTTAAAGTTTAGTTTTCTCTCCATGTGTCAGTCTTTTCAAAGGCTCAGGATTTGTAAATCAGTGCTTATCTATGCTTGACGTGTTTCAAGAAGACTTTCTGGAAGTATCCTAAATGATGAAATATTTAGATATGGTTAAGGGTACTGGGAATAGAAAAATAATTAGGAAGGATACATAACCAAATGTAAATATAGGGTTGGTTATTTTTTGTCTATTCAGTGTTTCCCATTTTGCCTCCATAATATGAAAATATTATTGTGCACACACAAAAACAGGTTCCAAAAGGAACCAGAATGCTCTAGGACAGTGGAGGCTGCAATTATTTGTGTAGGGTCTGGTGTCTTTGGAAAAGGTATACAGAGATATTCCAGGTGACTTTTAGAGTTTAATACATTTTAGAGTCTCTTCTTACTATTTCAAATTGTTATTATGAAAAATATCAAGCATATATAGAAGTAGAGAAGGGCATGCGTTGGGGCACAATGGGTTAAGCCGCTGTGTAGAATGCCGGCATTCCATACTGAAGCACTGGTTCAAGTCCAGGCTCCTCTGTTTCCAATCCAGCTTCCTGCTAATGTACCTAGAAAGACACCAGATGATGGGGCCCCTGCCACCCACATGGGAGACCCAGAGGGAGTTCTGGGTTCCTGGCCTAGCCCAGGCTGCTGGAGGCATCTGGGGAGTGAACCAGCAGATGGAAGAGATCTCTCATGTGTATGCTCTCTGCCTTTCAAGTACATGAAAATGAATAAACAAACATGAAGTAGAGAAAAATGTAGTGGTTGGCCATAGGTCTATCATCCTGCTTCAATACTTGTATTTGCCATTTTGTTTGGCTTGATTTTAATTTTCAAAAGCATAGGAGTGGTATTGAGGTGATTTTCGATATTAAATAAAACAAAGGCTACATAAATTAATTTATGGTCTTTGTAAGAAATATTTCTATATTCCATGCGATAGATACAGTTCTATTTTATAGGGGCATACAAATATCAGGAGACACTCAATTCTTCTACTGTTATGCTTAGAAAGAAACAAGCCTGCGCCACGGCTCAACAAGCTAATCCTCTGCCTGCGGCGCCAGCACACCGGGTTCTAGTCCCGGTCGGGGCACTGGATTCTGTCCCGGTTGCCCCTCTTCCAGGCCAGCTCTCTGCTGTGGCCCGGGAGTGCAGTGGAGGATGGCCCAAGTGCTTGGGCCCTGTACCCCATGGGAGACCAGGATAAGTACCTGGCTCCTGCCTTCGGATCAGTGCAGTGCGCCGGCTGCAGCGGCCATTGGAGGGTGAACCAATGGCAAGGGAAGACCTTTCTCTCTGTTCTCTCTCTCACTGTCCACTCTGCCTGTCAAAAAAAAAAAAAATATACACCAAAGAAGTAATAGTACTAATACACATATAAATCTTAAGACAAAAAATGAAATGTTATTTTGACTATTATATGTCTCTGAGCTTCCTATTTTGAGAATTTCAAGTCTTTATTTCATTCACTAGCAGTGGGTATTAATTTTCATAATTATGTAGATCTAGTGATGCTGTATTATTTGAAATTGTCATGCATAAAATTATTAAAATTCTAGACAGAAATAATTTTAAATGAAAATTTTCTTTTAAGTATATACTTAATAGCTGTTCTTATTGTTGAATTTCAAATCTCTAAAAAAATCTTAACATTGAATATATATTTATTGTATAAGACTGTTATTTGGACGTTTATTTTGAAATTATGCAATCTCCCTATTATTTTCCCTTTAATATTCATGTTCTTCTAGAGTTTGGGACTAATTTGTGGGTATGTGCATGTGTGTGTGTGAATTTAGTAATTATAGTTCCTTTCTTTCTCTTACCTTTGCAGATAGATTTTGCTGCGAAAAATGGTGTTTGAAGCAGGACATTATTTACTTTGTATGTATTATTAGAGAAAAATACTAATAAACCCTAAAGCAAAACTTCATCCAAGGCTAAAACTTTGATTGTCTAAGCAAAATTCAATATAGGAATCCTTTGTTCAAGAACACTCTCATGGCATCAGGCAAATAAACTAGAAGCATGTATGTTTTACTATAGAATATATACATTTTAGTACTAGAGGTGAAAGTTAGTTAAGACAAATTCCCTTTGTCCCTTTTGTAGCTGCAAAATTATTTTATGCCAGCTTTTAACACTTTGTGTTACTGTAGCATGATCTTTTTGCAAAGTTATTAGATAATGCCTTCACTTAATACGTAGACTTTTAAAAACATAGTGGTGCTTACTGGTTTCTTTCCTTCTTGACTGTAACTGTCTATGGTTGGTTTATTTTCCAACAAGGCAAACAGATGTGCAGCCCCAGATTTGGCTTTGGAATATTCAGGTGCCAAAACAAGTGTTTCTCCAATGACCATAGCGCCATAGGCAATTGCAGTGAAGACTCTATTGAAAGATAAAACATTCGGATGTTAAGTCCATTTTTGAACAGTGGAGCTCTACAAGTACAGGAAAAAGTGAGTATAAGAAGATATTCTTTTGGTCCAGATAGCACTACTAATCTTGAAAGCTCAATAGCATTTTTGTCACTTGAACTCTTCTACCAAGGGCTTATCATCTCTTGCTGTGTCACCAAAGAAATCCTGGGAGCTTGGGTAATCTTAAAAATTTCTCTTCCAACTAGAGGCCTGGATCAAAGGCCCCAACTAGTCAATATCTTGAAAGAAGGCTTGCTTGCTTGGAGATTTGATAGGGAATTCAGCTGAAAAGGCAGGAATGGGGCTCCAGTGGTGAGACCTGAATTGACACAGGAGATATCACCTAGGGTATTTTCTCTGTTCTCTCTCTCTCTTTGCATATAATGTAGTTAGAACAGATCATTGAAGTTGAGTGCTGGATTATCGGCCTGATGTATTACCGCATGTAGACAGCAAAGCATGAGGATAATACTTTCTTAAGGTCTTCAAAACAAAACCCAACTAAAATACACCTTAGCTGAGACTGGAAAGAGAGCTTTGATCTTTTAGGTTTGTTATAGATCATGGTTGCAGTTTCAAAACATGTTGATTATAAGATGTGAACATGCAAATAATGTTTGGAAGCATGCAGAATATTCACAGGATTGAGCTAGATCATCTGATCAGGGTTAAACAGTTTCCTCTTATTTTCTATTTCGTACTGGACAAAATTACTGGAATGGAAAAATAGCCCATCTCAGTAACTGAGCTAAAGATAAAACTCAAGTATAAGTGGACAGGGTTCACTGGCAATATTTAAACACTAGGCAGTAAAAGGACATCAGGGAACCCAGGTGCCTGTTTGCCCTGTTGGATCACAGCCAGATAAACATGGATGGACCCCGTGGATGTCTCCCTTGATGGCACCTACCAAAGGGTGGTGTTGATGCAATCTCTTCAGTGACCTAGACTTCAGATCTTGAGCCTTATAAAATAGAAGAGCAACTGATTTACTGGACTGTCTGATGCTGAAATTATGTAGTCACTAGTTCTGTGATGTCAAGGCACTTTTAATACTAATGTGTACAGACATTGTTTAAAGGTCAAAATGCCATTCAAAATATGTGATACTTAAGTATAAACATTGGGAGTGGCTGTTGAGCTTAGGTAACACAATCAAAGTTTTTTTTATTTATTTATCTTTAATACAAAGAAAAACTGGACTGTGTCGGACTTAAGCCTCAGGGTGATCCAAGGGGCAGCAGGTGAAGTGGGAAGGTAATGGATTAGGAGTCAGGGGACCTATGTCCTAGTCCCACGAGTGTGAACATTTCAGAAGTCAAGGCTGGTGTTGCAGTGTAGTGGGTTAGGCCTCTGTCTGCAATGCCGGCATCCCATATGGGTGCTGGTTTGAGTCCTGGCTTCTACTTTTGGTCCAGCTACCTTCTCATGTCCCAGGAAGAGCAGTGGAAGATGGCCCAACTACTGAGCCCCTGCCCCCTCATATGGGAGGCCCAGAGAGAGTTCCAGGCTCCTGGCTTGGGCCTGGCCTAGCCCTGACTGTTGTGGCCATTTAGGGAGTGAACCAGTGAATAGAAGATCTCTCTCTCTCTCTCTGTCTTGTAGTTCTGCCTTTCAAAAAAGATAAAATACATGCTAAAAAAAAAAAAAAAAAAAAAAAAAAAAAAAAAAAAAAAAAAGAAGAAGTGAATAGCTTCATCCTAAGATTGGGGAGATGTGAAAGTATGTACCTAGAATAAAATTTCTACCACCAAAGTATTTCTGAGCATTGGACATACATGTCCAGAGGCCAATGTGCCTGCTTGGTTCTTACTAAAATGGAAATACACTGAAAAGGAGTAAAAGCCCTTCCATTTAGATCTTGTGTCTGTGGGAGCTAAGATATCAGAAGGCATGGTTAAGAGAGGTTAGAGAGCCGGCGCCGTGGCTCAATAGGCTAATCCTCCACCTTGCGGCGCCGGCACACCGGGTTCTAGTCCCAGTTGGGGCGCCGGATTCTGTCCCGGTTGCCCCTCTTCCAGGCCAGCTCTCTGCTATGGCCAGGGAGTGCAGTGGAGGATGGCCCAGGTGCTTGGGCCCTGCACCCCATGGGAGACCAGGAAAAGCACCTGGATCCTGGCTCCTGCCAGGATCAGCGCGGTGAGCCGGCTGCAGCGGCGGCCATTGGAGGGTGAACCAACGGCAAAGGAAGACCTTTCTCTCTCTGTCTCTCTCTCTCACTGTCCACTCTGCCTGTCAAAAAAAAAAAAAAAAGAGAGGTTAGAGAAGAGGGTTTAAGAGGGTTAAGAGAAGAAGGGTTTTGGTAAAGCAGAGAGAGAGCAGCCAAAGCCCTGCTCCTGTCTTTCTTGTGGGAGTGTTGAGGGGTCAGGATGTGAGATGGGACTTGATGTTGAGGAACCTAGAGGGGAAGCGTGGTCATTGTGGCTGTGGTCTGTCTGGGGCTGAGTCAAAGGCACTAATAATCTTCTTCAGACTTTCCCACACACAGACTCTGTATAAAGGTAATAAGCCAAGGGCCACACGCCTACAGGATCAGCCCTGAACTAGCCTGATTCAGTGAGCCAGAATGAGCCAAAGGGAGGTTCTCTCCTGCTCAAGAAGTTTTTATGGTGCAACAACACCAGTGCTGCAACTCCATACCAACTGAGCCAGACGCTTCAAGTCTTGTTCAAACTCTTGGAAGCATATGAATTGAGAACCTGCTGCCGAGAAATGTGCAGGCCAACTTCCTTTGTCATTGTTGGTTTGAGGCATTTCACCCATTGGGTATATATGAAGAGTAATCACCTGCTGTCATGATAAATATTTCAAAATAACTAATAATATATTTATCAAGACATGAGGGTACTTCAAGAGGTTCATGGAAAAATGGAATTAAAAGATTAGTTTATTTTGGTGCAGAAAAATTTGAAATCCACATGTACAGGGATGGATGGACTTCAAAAAGTTCATGGAAAATGTGTATTATGAAAAGAAATCTATACATGAATGTCAACATTTTTTGCACCAAAATAAACTTATGTTTTAATTCCATTTTGTATGAATTCTCAAAATACTCTCATATGATCAAGAACAATTGATTCTATATCCACTTTAAGCCTATAAATAAGATCATAAGTAACACCCTAGAGTTCAGACATGGTTTTCATGTTGAACTAACTTTTGATGCACAAATATATAAGATAGGAATTAAGCAAAGCTGAAATTTAAATTCCATAAATTTCAGAACCTCAAACTGACCAAGAAAGAAGAACACTTCTCTATCTTTTCTTGTATGGAACTGATTTTCTAGCAAAAATCTTTGGGTTGGCCCAGGTCGGAAGGAGGAGGATACTGAACAGGAGTAGGTCTGGGAGACAGCAGCCCGGCACCTTCAGTGCTGGTCCCTCTCCTCCCTAGTTTTCTGAGTTCTTCAGCATGAGATTTGTCATGGCATTCCTATTACATCAATACTTTCTAGAAAGTCTGAGTAATAGGGAAATCCTTTCATGTGTCATTACTGTTGACATAAAACTGGTATTTATAAAAAGATCCTTTGGCTAGAAACAACATATAAAACCTAGACATGAATCATCCTAGTTCTAATACAACTAATCCAAATAGGAATACCCTGCAGAGGTACTGGTTCTGGGTGACTTGTCTTGCCTGAATGCTGCTCCCTTATCCAGTGTGTAGACCTGTTGTGACTTAGTCTGAGAGCAGTAGTAGCTATGAAGCCAGAAGACTGGGATCACATCCAAACTCCACCATTTATTTACTAGCTGTGTGACCTTCAGAATGTGACTGAACTTCTCTGTGCTTCTGTTTCCTTACTGGCGAACAGAAGATTGACAAGAATACCCACATCTCATGAGGTTGTTGTGAGAGTTACATGCATAGTTAACACACAGTGCTCAGTATAGTACCTGAAATATAGTAAATGCTCAGCAAATGTTAAGTTGTTATTGGTTCTCTCATAGAACTGGAAACCAATGGGACACTTTCTGTTAGAAAATAAGCTCTCACGTCTATAGAATTAGATTAGCATGGCACAGCAAATCACAGCTTCCAAAGTCCCTGCACAGTGAGTTTCTTTTTCTGATTGAAAGGCAGAGTCTCTTTCCTCACAGAGGTGAATGTTAGAACTCTTCCCATGCTAGACTCTTTTCTCCTGTCATCCACACACAACCCAGCGGTCTCCTTTTCTCACCCTAAATCCTTTCCTCAACACACAGGAAAAAGAAAATAAGCCACTTATATTTATTGGATACTTTGGGTCTTACAGAGTGTTTTCACATAAAGGGTGCCATTTGATCACCCAGGAGAAAAGTAGAGCAGGAGATCTTATTACTCAACAAATGAAGAGACTGACACTCTGAGGAAAATAAGAAGTTGGCCCAGGATCACACAGCTGTGCAACTGTGGGGTTGGACTGTGAGTGTGCTTGCTCTGGGTGCCTCACCTACACGGTGCTCCCTCCAGTGGGAAGCTGGCCAGATACACTTTCCTTACATGCTGGCTTTTCTCTACTTGTTCCTCTTGGTGGTTTCTCTGCTTAGATCCCTCTGTATAGTCTTTCTTTTGTTCCAGAGAACCCCTGGGGACAAGCCAGGCAGGAGTTGGGTGACTGCATGGCAGGGAACATGGGAAGAAGATTCTCCTGTTTCCTCTGCTTTGGCTCGCTGAGGTTGCCTCTCTAGTGATAACAATGATATGGTTCTTCCATAGCCGCCCAGCCCCTCTAAGCAGGGATGGTGATGAAGGCATGGCTTGCTGCCTCTTTCCATCCCTTACTAATTCAAGGTATTGACAAACCATTGACAGGCACAGAAAACTCACTTCTGTTGCCTTTTGGGTTGATAAACATATCCAATATTGAAAGTCCAAAGTCAAGATGGCATTTGGATATGCATTTTAAGAGTAGGAAACCACAAACACTTAAGCTGCCTGGCTCTGCTTCTTGGGCGGTTTTCAGAGCTGTTGCTTTTA